TATTTCCGACCCGGACAATTTTAGGGGTCTATAGGGATTGCTCTAAGGTGACCTTATTCGGCCCTTCCAGAATAATACTTGCACCACCACCCTTAGAATTGGAGTACCCATCAACATGTAAAGTCCATACCTGTTGTTCGTCGACCGATGTTGGAATCAGTTCGGCCACAAAATCTGCCAGGCATTGAGCTTTGAGGGGGCCGCGACTTTCATATTTGATACCGAACTCGAATAGTTCTACTGACCAAGCTATCATCCGTCCAGCGAGCTCCGGCTTTCTTAGGATTTGCTTGATCGGGTAGTCGGTTTTGACGACCACCTGGTGACTCTGAAAGTAGGGTCGGAGGCACCACTAGTAGAAAATAAGTATATTACGTCACCCCTTTTACGTCGGAAACACGAAAATCCGACGTAAAAAAAATGCGGTGGCATTTTTGTAATTTTTGCGAACTTTTTTACGTCGCACCTGGTAAGGTCCGACGTAAAAAGTCCAATCTACGTCGCACCTGGGAAGGTGCGACGTAAAAAGTCCAATTTACGTCGCACCCTAGCAGGTCCGACGTAAAAAAGACGCAAATTTGAATAAGAGAGCGCGAGGCACACCGCGCGCATTCACTTTTCATTTTTTTCTCTGTAAACCCTCTCCCTCTTCGTTGTGTAAATCCCTCCGCCTCCTACTCCTCTTCCTCTTCCTCTTCCTGTTCGTTGTGTAAGGTGTGATTTTTTTCTATCATTCAGTCTCCGTTCATACGACAAAAACAAGCAGTTTGCGTTCATACGACTAAATGTGTATTTTGAACTTATTATGTGTGTTTCTTTATATATTTTGAGTAGGAACAACCAGTGGCTGAAGCCAAGCCTGAGGAGAACAGAGAAGAGAAGCGATTCTGGGAAGAAAAGCGATTTCTGGGAGGAAAACGCAGAAGAAAAGCGATTTCTGGGAAGCAGAACGGGCCGTTCTGCAAGGAGAACGGCCCGTTCTCCAAGCAGTATGGGCCGTTCTCCAAACAGAATGCCCCGTTCTGCAAGGAGAACGGGCCGTTCTCCAAGCAGAACGGGCCGTTCTGCTGCATTCATTTTTCTTTTTTTTTTTTAAAATTTTTACGATTTTTTACGTCGGACCTGGGTATGTCCGACGTAAATTTACGTCGGTTTTTGACCCCCGACGTAAATTTTACGTCTCCCGCTTCTACGTCGGACGTTTCCCTGACGTAAAAACCCCTAAATAACCGACGTAAAAAGGGTCTTTTGTACTAGTGCACCGAGCTACGGTGACTAGCGCTAGTGCGAGCTTCTCAATCATCTGATACCGTATTTCCGTGTCTTGAAGGACTCGGCTAATGAAGTAGATCGGCGTTTGCACCTTCTGGTTCTCTTGTACTATGACTGCGCTGATTGTGCCTTCTGCCACGGCCAGGTAGAGGAGGAGGTCGGCGCGGTGATCCAGCCTCTGGAGGACTGGTGGAGTTGTGAAGAAGACTTTGAAGCTCTTGAAAGCTTCTTCACATTGGTTCGTCCACTCAAAGTTTTTTGGCTTTCGCAGCAGGGTGAAGATGGGTCCTGCCTTCTCCGGGTTGGCCTCAATCCCCCTGCTGGTGATCATGAAACCAAGGAAATTACCTCCTTGGACGCCGAAGACGCACTTCTCTGGGTTGAGGCGCATGTTGTGTTTTCTGATCTGGCTGAACACCTCGGCCAGGTCGGCAGCATGACCATCGGCCGAAGTGGTTTTGACTGCCATGTCGTCGACGTAAACCTCCATGTTCCGCCCAATCTGTTGGTGGAAAACTTTGTCCATCAGCCGTTGGTAAGTGGCTCCTGCGTTTTTTAGATCGAATGGCATCACTCGGTAGCAAAAGTTGGCGTGTTCAGTAATGAAAAACGTGTGGACCTCGTCCGGGGGGTACATCATGATTTGGTTATACCCGGAGTAAGCATCTAGGAAGCTGAGGAGGGCGTGCCCGGATGCTCCATCAACTAGCTTGTCGATGCTCGGTAAGGGGTATGAGTCTTTGGGGCATGCTTTGTTCAGGTCGGTGTAGTCAACACACATGTGCCACTTCCCCGAGCTCTTCTTCACCAGTACTACGTTTGCCAGCCACGTGGTGTATCTGACCTCGCGGATGAAGCTCGCGTTCAGCAGCTTTTGTGTCTCGGTGATGATAGCTTCTCGCCTCTCACCGTTGACCTTCTGTTTCCTCTGGGCCACTAGTTTTGCCTCTCTGTGGATTGCTAATCTGTGACAGATAAAGTTAGCATCTATACTTGGCATGTCGGCACTAGACCATGCGAAGAGGTCGGCATTCTTGGAGATTTTGGCTTCAAGTTGTTGCCGTAACTCCGGATTTAACTGTCTGCTTATCTTTGTACATTGTCTAGGGAGTTTGCCGACTTGAAGGTCGTCGAGCTCGTCAATGGGACTTGGCCGTTTGTCATGGGATTCCGACCTTGGATCCAGGTCAATGATGGCAACCTAGGATATGTGAGCTACAGTGGGAGGGTCACCTTTGCGACGCCCTTCGGATGAAGAGACTTTCAGACTTTCGGCATAGCACTGCCAAGCTATCTTTTGGTTTGCTCTAACTGAGATGATTTTCCCATTATTCCTTGTGAACTTCATTGTCAAGTGTGGAGTGGATACCACGACTCCTAGCTGGTTTAGGGTAGGCCTGCCGATGATAATGTTATACGACGTATTGGCCTCGACGAGGAGGTAGCGGACCATGATTCTCCTTGAATCAGGAGAGGTTCTGAAAGTTGTCAATAGATCCACGTACCCTCGAGTGTGAACTCGTTCTCCTGCAAAACTGACTAGAGGTACTGTTTGAGGTTGGATAAGGGAGTGGGGGATATCTAACCTTAGGAACGTCGGCCAGTATAGGACGTCAGCCGAGCTTCCTTGGTTGATCAGCGTCTTGTGGACCTCCCAATTGGTGACCTCCACGGTGATGACCATTGGATCATCTTGGTTTGGGCAGACGCCAGTGTAGTCGTCGTCGGTGAAGGTGATCGGTGGTGTGCTGGGGTGTGGGGCCGAGGTAGCGGAGTGAACATTGTTGATGCTGCGCAAGTTTCTTTTTCGCGCCGAGCTACTAGAGCCTCCCCCTACGAAACCTCCTGCAATTGTGTTGATGACTCCCCACAAGGGAGTTGACCCTGTTTCCTGACTTACCTTGGCCTGCATCGCATCGCCAGCATTTTGCTGAGAACCACAGGGTTGGTCCGTGCGAGTTCTCAAACCTCGACCTCGCCCTCATCCTCGTCCATTGTGACCTCCTCGGTGGCTTTGTTGTCGTTGGACGTAATGTTCGAGGTGTCCCCCATGGACAAGTTCCTCTATGCGATCTCTGAGTGTGCGACACTCCTCAGTTGTGTGACCATAATTTCTATGGTACCTGCAATGCTTGGATTTGTCTGCACTGTTGGGACTGTGTCCAGGTGGTGGCAGAGTGAGTAGATTGTTGTTGCTGGCCTCCTCCAAGATGTGTACTCGGGGCGCATTCAAGGGGTGTAGAAGTCGTACCTTCCCCCTTTATTTGTCCTAGCAGCCTTCTTAAACTGACTGTCAATAGTGACCTTTATCTTGTCTTTGTGACCATGATCCGGCTTGACCTGTGATTTTCCGCAGACCTGGTCACAAAAGGCAGAGTGTTCCTCCATCTGGATATACCCTGCAGCTCAAGCACGGAGTTCGTCCATGTCAACAGGAGGTCGCCGACACAGGCTATCAACGAACGGTCCTGGCTTGAGTGCCTTGAGCATGGCGTGTAGGGCGACCTCAGGATTCAAATTTTGAATCTTGACCGAGATGCTAGCAAAGTGCTCCATGAACGTCCTCAGTGGTTCGTCTTCGCCCTGTCTGAGATTGGCTAGTGCGGCTGATGTGACGTGATGAGGTCGGCTTGTTGCATATTGTGTCGTAAACCGTCTGACCAGGGTGTCAAAGCTGTCGATTGATCTCGCTGGCAGTTGGGTATACCAAGCGAGTGATGCCCCCTTGAGCCAGGTCAGAAAAAACCCTACACAAAATAGCATCATCATTAGTGTATAGGTTTACCTGTGTAACGTATAGGTCGATGTGCTCGTCCGGGTCAGTAGTTCCGTCATAACGGTCGATGTTGAGAGGCTTCCATCCAAAAGGGAGGGGCGTCTCCATAATGCCATCCCCGAAGGGGTGGTAGCGGATGCTCGCCCTATGTCTCGGATCCTGGACGGGCGCGTTGCTGACTTCATTGGCCGACCTATTCGTCGGCGCATGCGACCTATGTGTGGCGGGCCAGGGGGTAGGTGCCTTAGGTGCAGTCGGTGGTTGAGAGACCGAGTGCCCCTTTTCCTCGTGTTGATTACTCGGTTGAGGGGGTTGATCAGAAGGGCGTCGAGGGAGCTGGGCGCGAATACGCTCATTCTCGGCGCGCAGCGCCGCTAGGTCAGATTCATTCGCGGCATGCAGCGCTGCTAGGTCGGTTTCGTGCTTGGCACGAATGCTCTGCAGGTCGACAGCGTGTTGCTGCCGCATCTGTTTGACTTGTTCGATCAGTATTCTCAGTGCTGTTTCGCTGTCCATTCTAGTTGTGCGATCTAGGTCGTTTGTTACTCGTCTACTATGGCTTCGGGTGAAAACCATAAGCGTGGCCGATAAGAGCTATCTTGATCGGCCCCACGGTGGGTGCCAAATGTTCTTACCGGAGATCGGTCGTAGAGGCGATCTACTAGGTAAGATTGGTGAGCCTCCTTCGCTGGGTACGGTTGTTGTTCCGAGAGGGGGTGGTACCTACAAAAGAGACTCCGACGCTAAAGTTAGTGTTTGTGGATGTATGGGTCTCGTATAAGTAATGCGCGTACCTTGGTGTGAATTAGGGTTTTTTTGGGCCTTGGGCCTGAGATCGGTTATGATCTATTTAGATGGTGGGCCTTGTCTTGGCCGATGTCGCGTGGCGCGTGGCCGAGGTCACTCTGCGCTGTGATGCCGAGCTCGAGCTCGGCATAGCAGTACGGATAGTACACTATTGTTGTGTGAATAATTTAGCCAAACAAATTGGTTAACTTATTTCATCACAGTTCCTAAATAAATTAATAGAGAATTTGTACTTAAAAAGGAAATATGCTTCTCGCCTAATGATTTCTCAAGCTACCCCCAAAAAGTGCTTAGCTCGAAGGTGAAATTTAATCTTGTGGGAAATCTTAAATGTGTTTTAATAGTTATAATTGTAATTTGTGATTTTGCATTCAAAGTGAGAAATTGATATACGACATACATATTGGGATAAATTTTTTTAACTAAATAGAAATTTTTCATTAATCATTATTAAGAACCGTTGCCTCAGATTATAGATTTAAGGTTAATAACACATACATGTATCTATTGATGTTGACCAAAAAGTTGCAGTAGAATAGTCTTTTGGTACAATGATCTTCCTCAGCCAAATCACTGGATTCCTTAACGAGAGTTGATGTTCCTCTTCTAAAGGGAGACAAAGAGACGTGTGTTTCTGATTTGGCATATTAGGAACCATGACCATTTTTATAATTTTAAACCCATTAGTGTTCCCATTAACCCCTAACAGGCCAAATCTAGTTTTCACTTATTTGGGCTCATATCATTTTTTTCTATTGGCAGTATAAAGGTTCACTAAACTTAGATCACTTTGGTTGAACCCAACTAAATGTAAATAACTAATATAAATCTTACAAATAAAATATGTAGCTCACGTTAATTATTAGAACTAAAATTTCTAACAATCTCTTACTTGAACTTCATATTCATTTAAGTATTTATATCACAAAATTCTTTAGGTGCGCAACCGTATGCTATTTAATTGTAGACTCCCCTTAAACAATCTGGCCAATCTCATAAAACAACAAAGAACCACTACAGATTTCATCATTATCTAATGTGACTAAACCACAATGATCACCACAATTGTATGCACTCAATGACATAGATCAAATATGGATATGTGCCATGGAAATTACATGCAATGTGATCTCAATCATGTTTATTTCTAACTGGTCTAAACTTATTCTTTATAGAGATCCATTCAAAACACAACCGCTGCCTTGGCCAACCTTAGGCAGGGCGATGATGAGCTGCTGCGAAAATTCATGGAACGATTCGCCAACGTCTCCATTCAGATCCACAACCTGAATCCCGAAGTCGCCCTACATGCTATGCTCATGGCACTAAAGTCGGGCCCATTCGTCGACAGCCTCTGCCGTCAACCTCCCCCAAACATGGATGAGTTGCGTGCTCGGGCCACTGGATACATCCAGATGGAGGAGCATAGCGAGGTCCTCAATCAAATCCGTGGAAAATTGTAGGGGAAACAAGACCAAGGTCACAAGGATAAGTTGAAAATTTCCAATGACAGCCAATTTAAAAAAACATGGCAAAATAGGGGCGGGAAGTACGAATTCTACACCCCTCTAAACGCACCTCGAGTGCACATACTAGAAGAGGTCAGTAACGCCGACCTGATCACCCTACCACCACCTGGGCACAGTCCCAATAGTGTCGACAAGACAAAACATTATCGCTATCACAGAAACTACGATCACACCATTGAGGAGTGCCAGACATTCAGGGATCGCATTGAGGAACTTGTCCAAGAAAGACACCTCGATTAATAGGTCTAGCAGTCCTAGTCTTAGAGAAACAGCTACCAGGGGCAAGATAGAGGATGAGGGCGAGGTCGAGGCTCCAACTTCTGGGCAGACCAGCCCTCCGGATCTCGACAAAATGTCAGCGACATAGTACAGGCTGAGGTAAGTCATGACACAGAAACCCCTCCCCTACGGGGAGTCATTAACACAATTGCGAGTGGATTTGTCGGGGAGGCCCTAGCAGCTCGGCGCGCAAATGACACCTACGGAGTATCAACATCGTCCATGTTGACACCTTAGCTTCGCGGCGCAACACGCTGCCTATTACCTTCACGGATGATGACTATGTCGGCATTTGCCAAAATCAAGACGATCCTATGGTCATTGCGGTTGAAGTAGCCAATTGGGAGGTCCACAAGACATTAATTGACCAAGGGATCTCGGCTGACATCTTGTATTGGCCAACATTTTTGAGGTTAGACATCCCCTATACTCTTATCTAACCTCATACAGAACCCCTAGTCATTTTTGCTGGTGAACGAGTACATACTCGCGGTTACATAGAACTGCTGATGACCTTCGGAGCACCTCCCAACTCCAAAAGAATGATGGTCAGATACCTCCTTGTCGACGCCAACACATCCTATAACATTATCATAGGTAGACCTACGTTGAACCAACTCGGGGCTATCGTGTCCACCCCACATTTGATGATGAAGTTCCCGGGGACCACCGACCAGATAGTCTCCATCAAGGCCAATTAACGAATGGCTTAGTAGTGCTACGCGAAAAGTTTGAAGGCGTCACCATCAACGGAGGAGCAACGCCAAGGTGACACTCCCACCGTGGCCCACATAGCTCAAGATGAATTCACCGACCTCTATCCAAGGTCAGAATCTCACGATAATCGCCCAAGCCCTATTGACGAGTTAGTCAATTTTCAGATTGGCAAATTGCCCGGACAATGCTCAAAGATAAGCCAACGGCTAAACCCAGAGTTGCAAAAACAATCTCTAAAAACGCCAACCTCTTCGCATGGTCAAGCGCTGACATGTCAAGTATAGATCTCACTCTTATCTGCCACAGGTTGGTGATCCACAAAGAAGCTAAACTAATAGTCCATAGGAAAAGAAAAGTGGGAGGAGAAAGACGAGAGTCCATCACGGTCAAGACTCAAAAACTGATGAATGCGGGCTTTATTCAAGAAGTTAGATACACCACATGGCTGGCTAATGTAGTACTCGTCAAGAAGAGCTCAAGTAAGTGGCATATGTGTGTCAACTACACCGACTTGAATAAGGCCTGCCCAAAAGACGCATACCCCCTACCGAGCATTGATAGGTTGGTGGACGGAGCTTTCGGCCATGCTCTTCTCAGCTTCTTAGACGTGTACTCGGGATACAATCAGATCATGATGTACCCACCGGACGAGGAAAACATAGCTTTCATCACCAACCAAGCCAACTTTTGCTACCGCGTGGTGCCATTCGGCCTCAAAAACGCCGAAGCCACTTACCAGAGGCTGATGGACAAGGTCTTCCATCAACAAATTGGGAGGAACATGGAGGTTTATGTCGATGACATGGTTATAAAAACCACATCGACCGAAGCCCATGTCCCCGACCTTGTCGATGTGTTCAACCAAATACAGAAGCACAACATGCGCCTAAACCCCGAGAAATGCGTCTTCGGGGTCCAAGGAGGTAAGTTTCTTGGATTCATGATCACCAACAGGGCAATCAAGGCCAACCTGGAGAAATGAGAAGCCGTCATACAAATGCGAAGCCCCCAAACTAACAAAGACGTTTAGAGATTGGCGGGCAGGTTAGTCTCCTTGTCACGTTTCATACCCAAGTTGGCAGAAAAGGCAGGACCCATCTTCACCCTGCTATAGAAGCCGTAAAACTTTGAATGGACTGACCAGTGTGAAGAAGCTTTCAAAAGCTTCTTTTCACCCCACCAATCCTACAAAGACTGGACCATCACTCCAACCTCCTACTCTACTTGGTTGTAGCAGAGGATGCCATTAGTGCAGTAATAGTGCAAGAGCGCCACAAAGAACAAATTCCCGTTTATTTCATTAGTCGAGTTCTCTAAGATATAGAAAAATGGTAGCAGACGATTGAGAAGTTAGCACAAGCACTAGTCACTTTCGCCCGACGTCTCCGACCTTACTTCCAAAGCCACCAGGTCATCGTAAAGATAGACTACCCGATCAGGAAAATACTTAGAAAACCAGAACTCGCGGGGCCCATGATCGGTTGGTCCATCGAATTATCTGAATTTGGCATCCGATACGAAGCCCGAGGACCCCTTAAAGCTCAATGCCTAGAAAATTTAGTGGCCAAGCTCACCCCAACCTCCATAGAGGCAAATCCAATCTGGACCTTACACGTCGATAATTCCTCCAACACTAAAGGCGGGGGCGTGGGAATCATCCTTGAAGGCCCCAACCTGGTCGCCATTGAACAATCCCTCAAATTCGGATTCAAAATCACCAAAAACCAGGTAGAATACGAAGTACTGTTGGCAGGATTGAGGTTGGCCCGGGACATCGGCGTAGAGAATAAGCTGCAACAGTGATTCAAAACTCATGGTGGAACAACTTACCGATTCTTACCAAACCAAGGACTCGCTACTACAAGGATACTATCACGAGGCATCCTAGTGGATAGCATCCTTCGAGGAATTCACAATACACCACGTGCCTCGGGAGTAGAATGTTAGGGCAGATCACTTATCCAAGCTTGCCAGCAAAAAGCGCCCATGACAACATCGGACCATCATTCAAGAGACCTTCAACTCCCCCAGCCTAGACATGAAGGTCATTAACACCAATGATATTGAGGATAAGAAGTGCATGACCGACATCTGGAACTACTTGCAAGATGGAGCATTACCCGAGGACAAAATCGAGGCTCGAAAAATGAGGATATGATCATCCCAATTCATCATCATCATAGG